CATATATATATATATATATATATATATATATATATATATATATATATATATATATATATATATATATATATATATATATATATATATATATATATATATATATAGTCTTAATTTTTTACATTTTTTTGACTTAATTTTTTATTAATGCCTTTTGTTGGTTTGTTTGTTTTATTTTTATATTTTTTTGTTTTATTTTACATCATAAATATTTTAAAAACTATTTTATCATTTGTATTAAATTTAATTTTAAAACTTTTATATTTATTATTTACATTATATTTTACTTGTATTTTATTTTATGATAAAACTGTAATTTTATTTAAATTAAGTTTTGCTTATAAATGTAACATACTTAATATATAATTCGTATTCAAAAAGTATGCATACACATAATGCCTTGTGTTGCTTATATAATTGTATATATTTTATTTTATTTACAAACATGAATTTAATTACAATATAAGTTTATTTATGTTTGCCTGTACATTAATTGAAATCAGAATTATTAGCCCCCTTTGTATTTTTTTTTTCTTTTTTTAAATATTTCTCAAATGATGTTTAGCAGAGCAGGAAATGTTCACAGTATGTCTGATAATATTTTTTCCTTCTGGAAATTTAAATCACCTTTTTTTTGTTTGTTTGTTTGTATCTCTGCAGTTTGCCGGTTAGCCTGTCATCGGAAGTGTGAAGTCAAGGTAAGAAATGTTTGATTTGTCATATTAGACACAAAAACCTAAAACGAGTCTCTTTTTAATGGCTTTTGCATTCAAAATAAAAACATTATATGAAAATTATGCTTTAAGCTACATTTGGATTTCCATAACAAGGTTGTGAGTCTTCAGAACTTCCCTAAATGGCTGTGTCTGCATACACAGGTTAGGCTCCTTTTTGTCAAACGCACACACATTTTCTGTTCTGATGCCAAACAAACCTTATCACAGAGGACATTTTCTGCCTTGATAGTGGACAAGCGGGTCTGGATGAGGAAGGGTTTTGATAGACTCACAAATCTAAAAACAACAACTGCGTGATGTCTAGGACATGTTTGTCTTGGCTGATTCCTTTCTTCTTTTGAAATACCCTTCCTGAAATGTGTTTTCCTGTGTGATAGGGCTGTTTTCAAGGCTGTTTTGAGAGTAAGAGTGTTTGAGATTGGCAAATAGGTGGGATATTTTGTTTGGCTGTGTTCTTTCTGAGCTGCCTTTATTTTGACCATTCTAAGGCGGCATCCTAATCTTACATAGACCATCAGGTTGAGGGAGTGATAGAGATTCACATTGATAGCATAGATTCACTGAACCCAAAAGGTAAAGGTAACTCGCACCATTTAAGGGAAACCGATTGCAACAAACCATTTAAGTTCAAAAACTAAGCCTAATGAGTACTGTGAACTTAATCTATTTGAGTAAACGAAGCAATTTTAGCAGAGTCAAACCCAATAAATGAAGAGAACTTAAACCAAACTGAGTACTGTAAAACTCAACGAGTTATGGCAACTCAAACCGTTTGAGGAAAACGATTGCTACAAACCATTTGAGTTAAACTAATCTATGAGAACTGTTATACTCCATTTAAGTTGAAGTAATGAGGTATTTAATTAACTCTTTACTTTCAACACTGAGTTCAAAACTCTTTTCAAATGAGTAGAATTAACTTTCAGTCAATTTTGAGTTCACTACACTTATTTCATTTGATAAAGTTGACTGTTGGGTTTTACAGTGTTGCAGAGGCCAAAACTCATGCAAAGTGCACAGATTCACTGTTGATTTCAGTGTTTCGATGCTGGTGTGTTGATAAAATAAAACTTTATCAACTAAAAGACTTTATTGAACATTAAAATATATGGCACAAAACTACATAGAGATGTTGCTGATTAATTTGACTTTTTAAATTAAATGTAATTAAATTAAATTAAATTTAATTAAATTAAAATTTTATTTTATTTTATTTTATTTTATTTAAGTAAGTTTAAAGAGCGTACACAAGTTATTGAGGTGTTTTGTTTTGTTTTCTTTTAATTTAAGTAACAGTAAAGAACACATAAATACTTGAGATTTAAATTTATTTAATTGTAAATAATAATACACAAGTAACAAACACAAATGCTGGATAATTTAATTGCAGTTGTAATATATATATATATATATATATATATATATATATATATATATATATATATATATATATATATATATATATATATATATATATAGATAGATATATATTTATATATATATATAAATATATATA